TTTGTCAATTCATTTTCATTTTATTTACCTATCGATTGGTGAAAAGCGTAAAATCAAAAGAAAGAATAACAGCAAACAGAAAAGAAATGCAAACGTTTGCAGAATCTCCAATTCAATTCAATACAAATTTATATTTAGATAGAAATTTACAGATGTCCATTGCTTAGATAGCTCCTTTCACATCGGGAGGACAAATGCATCAAATAAGGTGAGGGGTGAAGTCGGGGAACAGAATAGCATTCATCAATAATCAATAGATTGACAATATGCTGGAATCGCAAAAAACCCTTTTAGTTTCTGTACTTTTCTGTGTGAAATCAAAAGGAAATGGAGGAGAAAAGCAATGCACAGTTTCTCTACTGGATAACATCACTGCTCCTGCCACCATTGTTTCCCTTGTCAGCCTTGAGAACTGACCTTAAGAGCTGACAGAGCTAATGAATCTTCAACCCAGCCATTGGGGAATGAACAGCTCTTGTTAAATGAATTGGGGAAGTGGAGGGTACAGAGTTTTCTCTGTTCACATATGTGTTTAACGAGGCAGGCACAGACTCGAGGCACTTTGAGACGTCTCAAAGACGTGATAAGGCGCCATATCAAAAGCAAGGGCTATTATTATTACATGTCCTGATAGTTTACGGCAAAAGGCAGATTACGACAATTAAATATAATAAAGAAAATCCATGTGAATTCAGCTTCGACTGCTGGTCTGCAAGCTTTGAGCATCCTTACTGAAATGAGAACATGTCATTTCACAGTGATCGCAGATGTACAACAGCACAAAGCTGACTACAATCCACCACCAAACGGTCAATATGAAGTTGCCATCCCTCACCGTAAAGGAATGACCGGTTTTACTCAAAGCTGAGGGCAGAAATTGGTTTGTCTTTCATGTTGGCAGCAAACTTTGCGCCTCACAGCCAAATTTAATCTCCACTCAAAATATTTGTAGTCTAATTGATGGTGTTGTAAATCAATTAATTCAGTCTGGCACTCGTCTCGTTGTAGCTCTAAGCTTTACCTGGTAAAACGATTAGATCTTGTAGTAATTTCACACTGGGAATTTACATATGCTAGAAACTAACCAAACTTTTGTGATAGCCAGCCTTGATCTGAAATGAAGTACTATGTTAGGCTTTGAACTCTTGTGCATTTTGAGTTTCTCTAGTACTCTTCCTTTTGAGTAAGGTTACTGTACTCAGGACCAATTTGTGGGGGAAAGATTACTGTTGATAAATTGTATTGCTGGAAAGTGTAATTTTAAAAAACCCACACGGGGAAATAAATTCCATTTATAAACCACGTTATTGGATTGAATTAATCGATGCAACCCAGCCTGGATGTTGTTGGTTTTCATGAAACGCTTGCCATTTCACGCCCCTATCCTACGTACAAAGGAAGGAGTCATTTATTGAAAGAGTTAACAATTTTCACTTGTGCCCTCACCTTTTCCATTTTGTGTTTGGCTGTAAAATTTCAGGTCAGGTATCCACTGAGCAGTTTGACGTTTGACAGATTGAGGGCGGATCTGTGGGACTTTGACACTGATGGACAGTTCCTTCCTCCATATATTCTCAAACGGGAAGAGCATTGAAAGCAGCAGCTAGGGACAGAGCATCAGTGATGTTGATCTGCCAGTAGATTAAAAATTCTCACAGTCCTTTATTTTCTTTCAAATAAACCTAGGACGTTTAGGACTCATTCGAGTCACTGTCAAAGCTGTCAGAGGTGAGGCGTTTACTCTGTATTTTGTGAGGGCCAATAAATCAGTTGAAGAATTCAACTCTTCAGAAGAAAAAGAGGAGCAGGCATGAATCGCAAGATGTGCAGTCACAGGTGAGTGTCAGAATGCTTCTCCCTTCTAAGGACATTTAGGATTTGTGCAAGACAAAACCAGAAAGCATTTAGCTATTGAATCTCAAATTAGTAACAGTTATCACAGGGACAACACAATGCCCAAATTAACTCAGAGACATCCCATTAATCATTGGGTTTGATGTCACAGTATTTTTTGTTAGACACTTTGATTATACAATGACATTTTTAAACTTTTATTCATGAGATGAAAAAGGGAGTGTGTGATGTGTTGGTTATTATCACTGGTGCTAATTATCACATCACCCACCACATATCCCATGTTCTCTTTTACTGTTATGTTTTGCTTTAAATATGGTTTCTCTACCGTCCATTGCAATCGGAACTATTAGAAACCGTTTCTCAATCAATTCTAGATTGGGAAATATATTATAATAAGTATCTTTCTTTACGAGNAAAAAACGTAAAGTCGCACATCAAATCGATCAATAGTTTACGCATTTTGTTAAACGTTTTGGCCGAATTTCTTAGCAGCAATAATTTTAAATAAATAGGATTTGTTCACAGGGATTGCAGTTAAAGGTGAGTGAAAACGATTGGTACCTGTTAAGATTTGTATCAAATACAATGATAATATCCCAAGTCGTTCAGTTAATTCACCACCAAACTTTGGATTCAGTTTGATCTTTGAATCCCAATAGGTCTAAGTCAGCTCTCCATCTCCTTGAGAACCTATGTTTGTATAATGCCTTATCACATCAAAGTTCTCGAAATGCTTCACAGTGAATCTGTCAACTCGGATGATGTTCTGGAAGGTAAACACAGCAGGCATTTGAAACAAACAGACATGACCTAAAAAATGAGCAATTAAATCTTGAGGATTGTCGATCAGGAGCCTGGGAGAAACTCCTTTCACGTTTTGAATCCATCTGAGTTTAACATCTCGTCTCAAAAGACAGCAACTTACACTCTACTGCAATCCCAGTTCCAATATGAGCCCTGAACCCACTGCTTTTTAACCTAGAGGCAATATTCCACTAACGGAGCTAAGCTGACACCTAGGATAATCGTTCCGAGATAAAATGAGTGCGCTCTCTAAAAATAAAACTATTTTTAGAAGGGCGTTCTCCCTTGGGGGCGAATTAACAACCGCAGGCAAATCCTCAGTTAAAAGAATGATCTAAATTTGGATGTGTGGACAAGTGACGGCTTGTGAGCAAGAGCTTAAATAGGTGGGGCAGTGCTTGGTGGGTAAGTGTTATTATCCATCACTGCTTCCTATCGCAGTTACAGTGACATATTTGTGCAATTCCTACTGGCTCAAGGAACAGAAGAATTTCAGGAAAAATATAATTGCCTCTGAAAAACGTTGACGCTGAAAGTGCACAAAGCAAAATCCTTGCATTTGACATAGCGCCTTATGACGTCTCAAAGCGCTTCACAGGATACACTATGAAGTGAATCAACTGTGTATTTTGTGGGTGAAATGCGGCAGCCAATTGCGCGGACAGTCGTGGATTTTTTTTTATATTTAAGGATTATTATGCCTGGAAAAGCCATCCACCAATCGACAACCAGGTTCCTACCTACTGGTAGGTAAACAGAGATGTGTGGAGTAAGGAAACTTGCCCAACATTTCGCCCCTGCCGGGAATCAAACCAGGTCTACTCACTTGTGAGGCGAGTGCTCTAGCAACTGAGCTACAGGGACTCCACATTGTGCATTTTGTCACATTTGCACGTTTACTGGCTGGTTTTGGAGCAGATTATTGACAGTGTGCTTCCCTATGTGTCCTGTTAAAGAGTTACTAATGCAGGGAAACAACAGGGAGGGGGAAAAGGGAAGAAATCTTTTTTTAAAAAAAAGGTTCATCTCAATCAAAGCACTTTGACCTCCTCTGTTTCCAACGAGCTGAGAGAGGAGGCAGAGTGAGCGCTCAGAGCTTTATCACCCTCCGGTTACCTCCTTTGTAACAGGTGATGGGTGTGGCAGGTTACAGGATAAACAGCATAAGAATAGAAGCTCGGGATTAATTGTTTTCTTTTTCTTTTGTAACAAAAATAACTCATTATAAGTCAGGAGCTGGTGTTATCGAGAGCAAGCCAAATCTCCAAATCTGAGTCAAGAAGTTTCCAAGGGGCCGTTTTCTGAATGAATACTTTATTTATTCTGCTTACCTAGCAGTAAGTAAGGAATGCGGTTGTTAGTCGATTGATGGATCGCTTCCTGGGGGTCATAACCCCATAAAAGTGTTTGTGGGACGCTGCTGTGCCCAATTGGCTGCTGTGTTTTGCCCACAAAATGCACAGTCACTACACTTTACAGTATATTCTGTGAAGCTCTTTGAGACATCCCAATTACGTGCTAAGGTGCTATATCAAATGTAAGGATTATTATTATTATGATTATTACATTATTGAGTTTGGAGCCTGTGGTTGCGTATGTCTTGGAGAACCGGCGTTTTTTATAACATAAAAATTAACATTAACCAGAGGGAGAAAGTGACTGGCCTGCTGTGTATTTACAGTAATAATTAAAGTCCCGTGTTCCTTTTTCATTCATTTTGTTCTCAATTTTCCCTCAACCCTATTTCTTCTGTTTTTAGAAACAAAACTTGTATGCCTTGATAAGTGTCATAAGACATCTTGGCTGCATTATCATGTGAGTGAAAGGAGCTACAACCACTCTTGTGGGCCTCTTGTGAGGTATATGACCCCGTATTTCATTGACCCTTAGCTCTGCAGTGCCTATAACTGGTTCATCTTTCAGCAGCTCCGTCGAGTTTCATGCTGGGACTTTGAGCTTATGTTCTGAGCTGATGCTCTAATACACTGTTAGCTGAGCATGTGCTGCATTGTCTAAAATTTTGTCCTTTGGAAGATGCATAAACCGAGGTCCGGTCTGCCTGTGGATATTAAAAGTCTTGTGCTACCATTTGAAGAGAGAATGGAATTTCTCCCGCTCTCCTGTCCAACAATCCTCCCAGATAGAAGTGGTCATTCACTTCATCACAGGGGCCTTGCTGTGTGCAAATTGACTGTTTGTTGATATGATGAGGTACTGTATCAAATGCAAGGTTTCTTCATATTATTATAATAATATCTTTAATAAAAACCATTTACACTTCCTTCAGGTTCACATTGCACCATGTTATATGGGGAAGCCTCATTCTCCAGTTCTTGACGATGTACGTCAGTGTCCTTCCTGCATCCAACATCAGCCTGAGGACATTCATCGGCTGTGCCGTCAGAGAGTTCACATTCCTGGCGAAGAAACCTGGTTGCAAAGGGTTGCGTATCAGTACTGATGCCTGCTGGGGAAGGTGTGAGACCTGGGAGGTGAGAACGGGAACCTGATTGCCTCAGTTTCTTTCCAGTGTTAATGCTAAAACACGTCTCGATGAACTGGAGGGTAATCTAGGATCGAATACCAACAGGGTCCAACCTGCAGGTTGGGTTAAGAGTCATGTTTGTAAGATGGCTTTCCGCACCCGGTTTCCAAATTAAGAAGAAATTTAAGAATTTCCCACATGTTAAATTTCAAGACCAAATGTTCTTACAGAGAAAGCTATGGCGGAATTTGGATCTGGGAGTCACTGCGTCCAGGAAAAGCCTCACTGTATTGTTTCGGGCATCTAAAAAATACATTGCCCCAAGAGCCACGGGGAGAGAAAACAATTGTAAAGCATAAATCAGCTTTTGGGTTGCTTTACATTTCTGAATAATCCGTGCAGACTGCACATGCCTTTCCGTGTTTGGTGGGGGTTTCACGTGTAAATATTGTTCTGTGTTTTGTTTGCCTGCAGAAGCCAGTGCTTGACCCTCCGTACGTGGATGCCCACCACCGAGTGTGTACTTACAATGAAACCAGGCTAGCCACAGTGAAGCTGCCCAACTGTCGCCCCAACGTAGATCCCTACTACACCTACCCCGTGGCATTGAGATGTGACTGCAGTGGCTGCTCTACTGCATCCACTGAGTGTGAGACTCTGTGACATCCTCAGCGTCACAGCCAACGAACCAACCATTCGCAGTATCTGATGAATCGAATGGAGATGGGAATAAAATAGACATACTATTTTCTCAATGATACCAATGATTGAAAATTTGGAGGGGTGGGGGGGGGCGGTGGTGGGGAGGTATTTTCTGCTGTTGGTATAAATTGACATATAACACCGGAAACGTTTTAAGCCTACATTCGCAAAGCAGGTGAGACGATACTTGTTCATTTCTGCAGTTGAGGTACTAAATGCATTGCACATGTAGTAATTCCCTAACAAAGAAACTGTCATCTTCAGCCGAGACAAATTCGACTGCGGGATATTTTTGTACTTACGTTTTTCTAAGATTATTGCAACTTGTAAGAAACTGTGGTATTATGTTCTCTCAATTAGCTATTGGATTCACCAAGCCTCATACTGGGGGAGAATGAGATAAATAGCCTTCTTAGACCAATAAGCCTTTTCTGCATCGCTTGCTATTATAATGTATTCCCTGAGTAGATGTGAAGCAACACAATTGTAAGTATCATTTTAGCAGCGACACACATGCACTTTCCACTGGATAGTGGAATTGGAACCCTGACTGATTTCCCTACTCTCTCCCCCACCTCGAAGCTCAATTGTAGTGACAGAACATTAATTCACCCTCGACTGGGAATCCAACCTGCAACCTTCTGATAACGACAACATCTTGCATTTACAAAGCACCCTTCATGTCGGGGGGTTGCGGAGGACTTAAATTGCTCTGTACAGTGGGGAGAAAGAGAGAATCTTGCAAAGGCTTTTTTTAAAAAAATGGTAGTATTTTATTATTTCAGATTTATTTAGCACACATGATTAATCTTCCCTCATTGCAGATGGAACGCATTTTTTCTTGTAAGACTTGGATTGTGAACGATTTGAGTTGTATGAGCATTTAATTAAGTAGGAGGCGTTCAGCACTTTTGATGTCCAAATCAAACTCGATGTCTTGTTATTATTGTATTGCTAACAGCATTGCTTTTCCACTCTTTTCTGCTCAGAAATAAACTGCATACAAAAGAATCGGTTTCCAGATTAACTGTGTAAATTTATATTTGCTGCACAATTTCCTCCTGGCTTTTTCATTGCANTTTTTTTCAAATGCAACAAAAACATTTCAGGTAAGACAGGATTGAGCAAGAACGATTGACTGCCCAACCATGTGGAGTGTAGTGCATTAGAGCAGTTACCTTAAGCGAGAAGACCTGAGTTCGATTCCTGGGCAGGGCGAAACGTTAAACATGTTTCCTTACTCCACACACTTTGATTCACCTAGTAGTAAGTAGAGATCTAATTGCTAGTCAATTGGTGCATCACTTTTCCGGGGGTAATAATCCCTTCAAAAAATAAGCAAATAAATAATAATTTGGTTACTCAGTCCACGACTGTTTGTAGGACACTGCTGTGCACAATTGGTTGCTGTGTTTCGCCCACAAAGTATACAGTCAATTCACTTTAAAGTATATTCTATGAAACGCTTTGAGATGTCTCAGAGACATGATAAGGCGGTGTATCAAATGCAAGGATTATTATTATTGACTGATAAATGGTGGCAGTTTTTGAAGGGTTAATAGAAATATGTTGACTTATACTCAGTGAGCTTCACAACTTACTGATCTGGGAATGTCTGGTAGGCACTGGGCCATTAAAGGAATTTGTTCAGATGAAAAACAAGTGAGAGAGAAAGGGAGAGGGAAATCCTGCATATATTTTTGTCATGATTGATTGGCGTCATTAGGCATCTCTGAGTATGACTGGGAATCCTGGTAGCCTTTTATCTTACTGATCACGTTTCCACTTCCAGCTCCATAAATGGCATAATTCTTCTCCATACGTCACCTCTGCGGTCACTTGGCCAGGCTGAACTGATGGTGCTTTGTGTTGCATAAGTATCTTCCAATCCTGAATTGAAATAGAAGATCTAAGCACAATTTCAAAAGTTCAGCGAGTTCCCAGAGTGTCCCATCCATCAAGATCGATGGAACGTCAGGTTGGGTTCTGCTTTAGGGTATCTTTATCAGGGAGTCTCTTAAGCTTGTCATTCTTCAGCTCCCTGAAGTAGGCTCATTCTGCCATCGATCCTCATACATTCTCTTAACATGGCCTTGTCTAGCTCATAAGAGGCAAAAGTGGACCCTCGTTAGAGAGGACTATGCACTATGTAGTAACATCTAGTAATATGTGCACATACCCACAAATTTACATACTTGCAAATAACATCAAGCAAGTTGGACACAGAAAATGCATCTCTCAGTCTAAAAGATGTGGTTAACAGAAACTTAAAAAAAAGTGATAACTAGAACTCTGTCCCCATTCACTGCGCAGTAAGTACTCTATAAGAAATCAATTCAAATGACCTCTGGCGAGACAGGACTAAAATGCAATATACTGAGAAATACTGTTTGTGTGCACCGGGAACCCATTTATCAAAACTGTACATATTCACTGTTGGTAATGGATCTGTAGGGATGAGCTGTTTCTTAACCACATGCATTCAACTGAAGAAACCCATAATAGTCTAGCAGCACAACTTTCTAAACGCTATAGCAACATCCATCAGATAAGTTTGCTCAGACAATCTCAGCTTTATCATCCGGTTCCACTTCAGGAGCTGAGGTCGATACTCGCTTGGAAGAACAGCTTGTTCCTCATTAACACTTTCTCCACCATGGACGGACAAATTTCCTCCAGTTAAGACCGTCAAGACAGCAAGAGTTACAGCTGCCTGCGTAGCTTTATAATTGCCTGAAAATCCCATTTGATCAAGTTTGTGCTCTAGTCCTGCTCATTACCAAAATACCTAGTGTCCTTGGGTCTAAACATAACTGAAAAGCTCAGACTTTAAGCTGGACTAAGCCACTCAAAAATCTATTCCATACCCCATTGATTCCTATGGTTCACCTTATTAACACCTTTGTATGAGTTGTTTTTTTTAAAACTTTCTGTTGGCTGGAGATTTATCACTGCAACAACCTGCTGTGAGCTTTGTGACACTGACTTGCTGTGCTGTGTGTTGAGGCCTGGTGCACACATGGTGGAACAGTGGAAATAGCACCCAAGTGCGGGTTGATTAAACACACACATCCCCGTACAACTAGTTCATAAACTAGAATTGAATTAGAATAGTGGCAAACCGATGAAGGGATTTACTCTGGCAGAGACAATGTTGATTTCGGAATCAAGTCTCTTTCAGTAGGAAATGGGTCTCAAAAGCTATACACAGGTTGTTCACAATTTTAAAATTCTGCCATTAATTTAGGTTCGGATGTTTCGCTGTTCCCTTGGCAGGCTTTCTAAAAGCACCTTAAATTGTAAATTCTACTGTAAAGGAAGAAACATATAATATATGCCTAACAGTACTGTATGTAAACAATGGAGTTTTCAATAAATGATTTGCAATTAGTTATGTGCAAGATGGGTGAAAATTCAGCTTAGACCAACCACTGCAGAGAGGGACCCAAATAATAAAACTGCAGCTTATCCAAAGCATAACGGTAAGCAAGTTGGAGATCATCGAAAAAAAATGAAACGAAAGCCAGCCAAACATTTCCAATAAACCTTTACTTTCATCAAAATAAACTATGCACAATAAAGGGAATTAAACAAAAAAAAAAACTGAAAGTACAAAGCAATTGTAATAATACAGCAAAAAATTACTGAAGTCCGGAAGTCATAGAAATTAAATGCAAATCTGGAATTAAAAAGTATCTAATGCTAATTACAAGTAGTGTTTGATATTTTTTAAAATATTAAATTATGTGAAATTTTGCATTTCTACCGGTTTCAAGTTATTGCTTCTGAACCTTTAACACCTGCGAACACCAAATATATGGATATAATACTAAGGCACTAAAAGAGATAATGTACTTGCACACTAAGCAAAAAGTCACACCAGTGAATTGTCCGAGCACAAAATTCCACCTAGTAAAATGGCGCAGTCAGTTCCTACTATATTGTTTCACTGTTAACGGCTTCTGTGAAAAACAATTTACTGGATGGAATTTTCTTTTCTTTTTTTTCTAAAAAATAAAATCGAACAATGTGACCGAAAAACTGCATAGATATTAAAAAAAACCACATGATTTACATCTCAGACTTATACAGTACAGTAGTTGAACCATTTGATCAGATGTCAGGCAAGTGGTACATTCCCATTTATTAGCTTGAAAGATGTGCATGAGAATTTATTCATCTATGCTTCTTCATTGCTTTTACATACACTGAAGGCACGCAATTAATATTACATTAACAGTCTGGTGTGCTCTCAAAACCACAATTCAACAATCTATACCGCAAGAATAGATGTCAAGATAAGATTTATTTAGTGATTCTTGTTTGACCAATTTACTTCCATTTTAGTGCACATTTACCGCAAGTTTCTTTACATTTCAAATCAACCGTCAATTTGGTAAAATATAAAAATCGCATTAGCCTCGCTTCAATGCCTTTTGATGAGAAACAAATTGAATTTCACAAAAACGGAAGAAAGGAAACTGTGGGGAAAATAAAAACTTGAAATATCGGCGCTTATCTGATAACAAGAACAACAAAATTACATTTGTATAGCGCTTTTCATGTCGGGAGGATATTAATACTTGTGCATTTGTTCCAATCAACTGGCTTTGTAAATAATATTCTATCGTTTAATCACCAATATGGCACGGTTTGTTTCCTTGTGTAAGGTAGCAACATGAAGGTGTACTTTATATCTACAAAGTCCACCTGAGCTAAATTATACATTTCAGACACAAAACTAATAAACGAGGAACATTTTCAATGTTTTGCTATTCCAATGATATCTGTAAAAAGAGATCAAAACAGATGAACCAAGTGTGTACATTCCTGTACAATGCCTATACTGGCCTCAGGACAACAGACTGGACTCATTCATTTCTTCACTGAATAATAAATCTAGCGGGCACCATATTTGTGTGTCCATTTGGTGCATCTGTCTATTGTGCTTTGCAGATAGG